GGCAGTTGTTAGTGGAGCTTCCAGATTAAGACAGTGCGGTGTAGTAAATTACTTAGTGTGGCTTTTCTACCCTTAAGTCTTTGTAAACTCCGAGGTAGAATTTTCTATGAGCAACTGAGGAGCACCTGATTGCTGAAGTTGTCCACCTGGAGTATTTCTGTTGGGAGTGGCACAAAACAATGTTCTGGGAGGTGCCCAGTCTCTCTCAGGTGCTTAGAGTTCTGATGCTATGATTGGCTAGTTTGACCACCCTGCTGGGCTCAAAAAGGAGGCCTCCTAGAGGCAGAACTCTCTCTCTGACTGCTGGTTGAGGAAGACGTGCTGGCGAAAGAGACACGTGCCCCTGAAAGAGACACGTGCTGCTGGGAAAGAGACGCAAGAGACATACATTGCTGAGTGAGACACTGAGGGACCAGCACTGCTGGGAAAGGGACTGTGAGAGACTGTTGGCCGAGGGACGGTGGGCTGGGAGAGATGCTGAGCATTTTTCCTGAACTAGAATTGTAGCCTGTAGTGCTTCCCTAATAAACCCCATAATCTCTGAGCTCTGTGTGGCCACTGCAGCGAATTATCGAACCCAGGAGAGAGGTGGTGGGTGCTTTGGGAGGAACGGTTGGTGAAAGGGCTGGAGGGAGGCAGCATGTCTGGCCTTGCAGTAACAGGCCTTGGGTTACTGCTGGTAATCCTGTCTTCCTCTTGTGGGATTAGAGGAGGTCAGAACCTGTGGCCTCCTTGCCCTTTTTGCAGACAGACTGGGAAGAAGGATGGGGCCATCCAGAACTGGCCACTGAAAACCTTATGAATAGTAGTGAAACATCGGTATATTACTGGAAAACCTTATGAAGAGCTATGAAACACTGTCTAATATAGTGCCAGCAGGGGCCTCTCAGATGGGAAGGCACTCAAAATACGACTGGGGAAGAGTTGCCTCCCCAAAGTACAGTCGACCTCAGTGATGTGGATGGAGCAAAACTTTCGGGACCTCCATTTGCTGATAGGGCACAACTCAAAATGGAAAGAAACAGTTGCAAATATCCATTAATAATAGGAACGTGGAATGTACAAAGCATGACTCTAGGAAAATTGGAAGTAAAAAAATTGAAATGGAATGGATAAAGATCGATATCCTAGGCATTAGGGATCTGCAGTGGACTAGTATCAGTCATTTTGAATCAGGCAATCATATGATCTGTGTCCTGAATAACAGGCTGAAGAGTGGCATTTCATCACTTGTCAAAAAGAACATCTCAACATTTATCTTGATGTACAGTGCTGTCAGTCATAGGATAATACCCATATGTCTACAAAGAGGACCAGTTAATACTGTTGCCCAATAATTAAGGCATCAGCTACTAAAGTCAAAGGTGAAGAAATTGAAGATATTTACCAACTTTTGCAGTCTGAAATCAACAAACCTGCGATCGAGATGTATTGATAATCATTCGTGATTGGAACATGAAAATTGGAGACAAAGAAGCATCATCAGTACTTGGAATATATGGCCTTGGTGATAGAGTAACGCCAGAGATTGCATGATAGTATTTTCCAAGACCAACGACTTACTCATTGCAGATACCTTTTTTCAGCAACATAAATGGCGGCTAACCCATGGACCTTGCCAGATGGAACACCCAGAAATCAAATCAGCTACCTCTGTGGAAAGAAACGATGGAGAAGCTCAACATCATCTGTCAGAAAGGAGCCAGAAGCTGACTGTTGCAGCACACCATCAGTTGGTCACATACATGAAGTTGAAGCTAAAGAAGATTAAAATATGTCCACGAGAGCCAGCATTCGACTTGGTTACAGCCCACCTGGATTTAGGGACCATCTGAAGAACAGTGACTGAGGGCCAGATGAGTTGTGGGATGACATCAAGAACATCATACATGAAGAAAGCAAATGGTCATAAAAAAGACAGGAAAGGGAAAAGAGACAAAACGGATGTCAGAAGAGATTCTGAAATTAGCTCTTGAATGGAGAGCATCTACAGCAAACGGAAGAAATGCTGAAATAAGAGAACAGACTAGTTCAAATGGTAGCTGGAGAAGACAGTACTAAAATGGAACGCGCAAAGATCTGGAGTTAGAAAACTAAGAGGGAAGAACACATATGGCATTTCTCAAGCTGAAAGAACTGAAGAAATTCAGGCCTCAAGTTGCCATGTTGAAGGATTCTGTAGGCGAAATGTTGAATGATGCAGGAAGCATCAAAAGGAGACGAGAGGAACACATAGCATCACTGTATCAGAAAGAATTGGTTGATGTTCATCCGCTTCATGCAGTGGCATGTGATCAAGAACCAATGGTATTGAAAGAAGTCAGGGCAGCACTGAAGGAATTCGTGAAAAACAAGGCTCCAGGAATTGACAGAATACCCATTGAAATGTTTCAACAAACAGATGTAGTGCTGGAGGCATTTACTCACTTATGCAAGAAATTTGGAAGACAGCTACCTAGTCAACTGACTGGAAGAGATATCTGTGTCCATTTCAAAGGAAGGTGATCTGACAGGATGTGGAGATAATTGAACAACATCATACACGAGTAACATCTTGCTGAAGATAAGTCAGAAAGGATTACAGCACTGCATTGACAGGGAACTTCCAAACTGCAAGCTGGGTTCAGAAGAGGATGTGGAATGAAGGATATAATTGCTGATGTCAGGTGGATCCTGGCTGAAAGCAAAGAATACCAGAAAGGCGTTTGCCTGTGTTTTATTGACTCTGCAAAGGCATTCAGCTGTGTTGATCATAACAGATTATGGATAACCTTGCAAAGAATGGGAATAACAGAAAGGATACTGCATGGTTTAAAATCAGGAAGCGTATACATCAGGGTTGTATCCTTTCGCCATACTAAATTCAATCTCTATGCTGAGCAAATAATCAGAGAAGGTGGACTGTATGGAGAAGAACAAGGTACCAGGATTGGAGGAAGACTCATTAACAGTCTGCAATACGCAGATGAAACAACTTTGCTTGCTGAAAGTAAAGATGACTTGAAGCACTTACTGATAGAAAGATAAAGGATACAGTCTGCAATCTGAATTATACCTCAACATACAGAAAACGAAAATTCACCACAACTGGATCAGTAAGCAACATTGTGATGGTTGTAGGAAAGATTGAAGTTGTCAAGGATTTCATTTTACTTGGATCCAAAGTCAACGCCCATGGGAGCAGCGGTCAGGAAATCAAACATTACATTACACTGGGCAAATCTGCAAAAGACCTTTTTAAAGTGCTGAAGAGCAAAGATGTCTCTTTGAAGAGTAGGGTGTACCTCACCCAATCTATGGTGTTTTCAGTTGCCTCATATGCTTGTGTGAAAGTCAAACAGTAAATAAAGAAGACAAGGAAGAGGTGATGCTTTTGAGTTGTGGTGTTGGCAGAGAATACTGGAAGCACCACGGACAACCAGAAGAACGAACAAATCTGTCTTCGAAGAAGTGCAGCCAGAATGCTCCTTGGAAACAAGAATGGCCAGATTTTGTGTCACCTACTTTAGCCATGTTGTCAGAAGGGACCGTTCCCTGGAGAAGGATACCCTGCTCGGTCAAGTGGAGGGTCTGCAAAGAAGAGAAAGACTCTGGAGATGGATTGACACTGTGGCTGCAACGACGGGCTCAAGAATAGCCAGAGGGTTGGCACAGGACCAGGTGGTGTTTCCTTCTATGGTCCGTGGGGTCGCTGTGAGTCTGAGCGGACTCTGGCGCCTAACAAGAGTGATCTTTACAGAAGCAAAGGCCAAGCCAGATGACCTGGGGTGGAGTTGATTCCAACTCACAGTGCCCCTAGAGGACTGAGGAAAACTGGCCCACCAGGTTTCCAAAACTGTAATCTTTATAGAAGCGGACTGCCATGTCTTTCTCCTGAGGAGAAGCTGGTGGGTTCAAACTGCCAACCGTTCACTTAGCAGCCAGATGTTTTAACCACTGTGCCACCAGGGCTCCGAATAATTTGTCTTAATGACCCAAGGAACTACAATGGAAATAAGAATTTCATATTTAAGACTTTTTTACCAGTGCATATCTCTAAGATTGTTCTTTTTATTATTACTGTTTTTTTTTTTTTTTTAATTAATTTCATTACTGTGCTTTGGGTGCAGGTTTACAAAGCTCATTCACATTTGATTTCATGGCCCCGCTAACCATCCCCAAGCCATGAAGACCTCTCCTCCCCTCTCCCTCTGCCTCCTCTATCTGTGCATTGCTGTGTGTCCAGCTTTCCCTCTGTGAGTGCTGCCCCTCTGATGTCTCATGGCCGATGGATCTAAGGGGTGCATCTCCCTAGGGTGGGTGGGTGCTGAATCACCCAGGGGTAGGTGTTCTGCATGCAGGTCTTTCCACCGTTGGGCTGATCTGAGAACGTTCTTAATAGCACTGTTCATAATTCAGCGAGGGTAAGAGCAACCACACAGCCACACGCTAGGCAATGGGTCATTGGTGGCAAGCTCTCTTTAATGGCAATGGCTAGTGTGGACTGACGTTTCAGTGAGCAAAGGAATCCTGTTTCAGGATGGTGGTTATCTGAGGAGCAGCGTATAGCGTTTCTCCCCACCTGCCACCATGTGCCCCCCATCCCAGCTTTGCGTTCTCTCCTGTCTTCTCCATCTTGTCCCTGTGCCACCAGTGTTCCTGACTAGCTGTGCCACTTGCATCCACCTGAGACACACACACCACCCCATGTCGCTCATGTCCACCTGGGACACACACATACCACCTCCTGCTCAGCCTCGTGTCTCCTTTGCTGCATGTTCCCCATACACCTGTCGTTGGAGCCCTGTTGACATCTGGCAAGTTGGCCTCAGGTTCTCTCCTTGTCCTCTGAGCATTACCACGTGTTGACTGTCCCATTTGATTATAACCAGGTCTCAATTATGGCTCCTTGAGGTGGGCCTGTGGCATCTTTCCCAGGCGTGTCCTCAGCCTACCTCTGGACACCTGTGAGGACACAGGACAGGTGTTGTACTAAACTGCTCTGTCTGGCTTCCGTGCAGTGGGGATCCCCACCATCCGGTGGTGCGGGGCGGAGGGTGACTACAACGTCATGGTGATGGAGCTGCTGGGGCCGAGCCTGGAGGACCTCTTCAACTTCTGCTCGAGGAAGTTTAGTCTCAAAACCGTCCTGCTTCTCGCTGACCAGATGGTAAGAGTAACAGGTGACAGTAGGGAGCCTGGTCTGTGTACCTGTCAGCCTGAGTTAGTGGGACCCTCACCTCAGTCAGTGGGGACTGGGCAGTTCAGTCGGGGGACCCAGCAGTGGAGATGCCCAGTTAGTGTTTGTTGGTTCAAGAAATTTTTCAGTTGCTGTTGGTTTAGTTTTTATGCCTATTAATGTTTGGGGAGAGGATGGAAATTGACTTTTGATTGATTTGGTTTGAAGGTCCACTGTCATGGCCTCGGTGTTCACGTTGTAGGTCTCCTGCTGGTCTTGGGAACACGTTGGATCTCTAGGAGGACTTTGTGGTGTTTGAGTGGATTCTTGGGTGCAGTGTCAGTAGTACAGACTGTTGGCAGGTGGCCTACTGTCTGTCTGTCCACCCACAGCCTGTGCAGGGGCTGAAGGCTGTGTGGGAAGGGCCTTGGGGTCAGTTCAGTGACTACCCTTTAGCAGTTAGTGCTCTGTTCCTAACGGGTGGAGAGTGTGGGACACGAGTCTGGCTCTTGGTCGACTCGCTTCCTTCTGCCAGGCCTGGAGGCTCACCTCCTGCCTTTGCTCTTTGCCTGTAGATCAGTCGCATTGAATACATCCATTCAAAGAACTTCATCCACCGAGACGTGAAACCAGATAACTTTCTCATGGGGCTGGGCAAGAAGGGTAACTTGGTCTACATCATAGACTTTGGGCTGGCCAAGAAGTACCGGGACGCCAGGACCCACCAGCACATCCCTTACCGCGAGAACAAAAACCTCACCGGGACTGCACGATATGCCTCCATCAACACCCACCTTGGGATTGGTGAGCCTGGGGAGGGGCAACCATGCCCCGTACTGGCCGAGCCCAAGGCACTCCTACTCTGTGCAGCTTGTGGGTCTAGAAGCTGCTGTCAAGTCTAGCAGGCAGCTGCGACTTGGTGGCTGTGGGCAGCGTGATTTGGAGGGTTTCTGGAGGCTGACTGTCCTGATGTTCTCTTGACTTTGCTGCTCAGCGGGGTGTGGGGTTTCCTTAGAGCACAGAAAGGGTCACTCGTTGGAAGCAGAACCTCCTATGTCCGTGACAGGCGTCCTGCTCGTTAACGTCTTCGCCAACTCTCGTTCTCAGCGTTTGCAATCCGCAGCCGTGCACGGGGCCATCCTTCACGCCGCCTCTCCTCTCCTTTCCAGAACAATCCCGACGGGACGATTTGGAATCCCTGGGCTACGTGCTAATGTACTTCAACCTGGGCTCTCTCCCCTGGCAGGGGCTGAAGGCTGCGACCAAGAGACAGAAATATGAAAGGATTAGTGAGAAGAAAATGTCCACTCCCATTGAGGTGTTGTGTAAAGGCTACCCCTGTAAGTCTTCCAGCCTGTCCTACCACCTAAGGTGACCAGGCCTGGACTCGCTGGGCTCAGCCTCCCAGATGGTTCTGCCTATACCTTCTGTTGGAGGGGGTCCCTCACGCCACCATCCATGGAAGCGGGGAGGGACGGTGCTGCGTGCCACACCCAGCAACCTCTGCTCTCACTGAGAGCCTGTGGGCTGGTCGCCGAGGCGCTGGGAGACAAGCCGCCAAGGCAGCTTCAGACCAGCCTCTCGCCCTCATTCTCTGGATGGATGGTTGGCAGGTGATGCTCCAGGTGGCCCCGGCCATCCTTTATCTAATGGCAGCTTTATCCCTAGCTGGCTTCTAGAGCCAAAACTTGGTGTGTTTCCTTTGCTCTGTGGGGCACCCTTGGCTTGGCACCCTAGATGAGACTTGGCTGCTCTTTAAGTGTGGGTGTTCAGCACTGCCGGAGGCTGGCTGGTGCTTAGACCGCGTGTCTCCTGGCCCAGGCTCTGAGCAGCTCGGGGCACGCAGCGGCACTCTGCCCGGGCTTCAGCTGGTCAGCAGTGAGCGTCCGTTTTCTTGTTTGCAGCTGAGTTTGCCACGTATCTGAATTTCTGCCGCTCATTGCGTTTTGACGATAAGCCTGACTACTCGTACCTGCGACAGCTCTTCCGGAACCTGTTCCACCGCCAGGGTTTCTCCTATGACTACGTGTTTGACTGGAACATGCTGAAATTTGTGAGTTTATTACTTCCCGGTGTGTGATGGGCTGCCCATTCCCCAAAGGTGTCGGTTTCGCGCTCCGCACCCCGTCTGACCTGCAGCTGCAGTTGAGGTTCAGGTTTGCCACAGTGGGCACCAGCTCCTTTGCTCGGTGGTGAAGCTCGGTTGCCCTGAGGCTGGAGCTCCTTTGGTGTCTGCCTGGGGCTGCTGAGCTGGGCTCCCACCTGAGTGCTGATCTTCAGCCGAGAAGAGCTTTTGTTGTCGAGATGGATCCTGAGAGCCTCCAGGGCTTCAGGCCCTGTGCCCAGGGAGGAAACAGTGGTCCTTCTGAAGGAGGTTGGACTCGGCCTGGAGCGAGGTGCTGTGGTGGGGGTCTGCTGTGGTGGGGTTTCTGTTCAAGACTGCCTGTTCCCCTCGTGTCCCGTCTGTGCTTGAGGTCCTCGCCATGTGCACACTGGCCGGGCAGGAACCACAGCGTGTGGCGGCCCGAGCCCCGCTGCTTCCTCTGCACTAGGCAGCTGCTGCTGGGCGGGGTGGGAGCGAATTCGCACAGCCTGGCCCGCTGCCTGAGTTGCCCTTAGTGGGACTTGCACTTCTGTCGGAAACCGTGTCCCATGCAGTTACCAGCTGCAAGCAGAAGTGAGCCGCTTTCCAGGGTGGAGAAGTTGTTTAGTGAGGCATAGAGCCCCTTCAGAGGGAGCAAAACAGGAAATCCTGTCAGATGCCCGCAGGGCACAGGGGCTAGAGGCAGGCCGCCTGTGTGGCCAGCTCCCCAAGACCGGAGGTGGTTCTTCAGTTACTCCTTGGCCTCTGGGCGGGGCAGGCGAGTGCGCTCAGAGGTCAGAGCAGCAGGAGCCTCTTCCCTGTGTAGCAGCATTTAAAGGGTATCCTCGGTGGTGGTGCCTCAGGTTGCACCAGAGCCTAGGCCCTTGGGTGGACTGTCCTTCCTGAGCCTCTGTTCTGAGTCCAGCATCACAGCCCCTCACAGCAGTGGGCATCCCTTTACTGTAAGGAGCTGAAGGCCCTGTCAGGGGCTGTTAACCTGCTCTGTCTTGTAGTGTGACTGCAGCCAGTGGGCGTTTGTCGGGGAGAGAGGGGGCCAGGAAAACATTTATGAAAGCAGGTGGTGGGTAGGATTTGGCCTAAGGGCCGTAGTTATCGGAGCCTGCTTTATGGGGCTGACAGAACACAACCTTTGGTGTGGTAGGTGTCTTAGGTTGTCTGTTTAAGATAGCCACGCATTTGGTTTGTTCATGGGTGTTTGTGTTGGCGCAAACTTAGTTAGAAGGCACCCAGCCTCCCGGCTCCAGCTGGCTGCCCTCTCTTCCTGTGCGTGTACACACTTGTGGCATTGCCCTCAGCCCCGCCCAGCAGCCTGGTCTGGGCCCTGCGTGGTTCAGGCCCATTGCTGGCCTCAGACTGTTTCCTGCCTCTGCCTCCTCTTCCCTCTTCATGGCTCATGAGAATCTGAAGGTTCTAGTTGAGAATCTGGGCTCCAGGGACAGCAGTGTTCACTGATATGGAGGAGGGGGCTCAGAAATTCCCACCCTGGGGCCTTCCCACAGCCACTGCCAGGGATGGAGATCAGGAGACCAGGGATCAGAAGACAAGACCATGCCCATTGTCCTGGTGTGGGGACCCCATCTGGCGGGCTGTGTCTCCATGGAGACCTCATAGATAGGCTTGCACTCAGGGCCCCTGGTGTTTTCTTGAGCTGCCACCAAAACTGTTGCGTCTTGTTCTCACCTTCCCTCTTAGGGCGCCAGCCGGGCTGCTGACGATGCTGAGCGAGAACGCCGCGACCGAGAGGAACGGCTGAGACACTCCCGGAATCCAGCCACCCGGGGCCTGCCCTCCACCGCCTCAGGCCGCCTGAGGGGGACACAGGAAGTGGCTCCCCCCACGCCCCTCACCCCTACCTCACACACTGGTGAGTGGTCCCCAGCCAGGAGGTATCAGGGTTGGTGTCCATAGTGCCTATCAGTCTCTGAGTGTGGGACCCTGGGTGAGCAGACTGTGGCTCTTTGTCTCAGGCCTGGCTGAGGCTGCTTCTCCAGAGACCCATTCCTGGGGCCAGTGGTAGTTCTTGCTACGTGGACTCCCATGAGCCTTCAGTGCCCACCCCTTCTAGAGGTCCTTTCTCCCCGCCAGAGCGCGGGGCACACCCTGGTGCCGTCTGCTGTTCTGGTCTACCATGGTGTCCAGGGTGGGGCTAGACTCTGGAGCTTCAGCCACAGGGTAGCGAGGTCCCTGCCGACATGGTTTCCAAAGGCCCCAGAAACCCCTGGTGCTGGGCATAGGCAGGGGCCTCACGGCCCGCTCTCCCTCCGGCAGCGAACACCTCTCCGCGGCCTGTGTCCGGCATGGAGAGAGAGCGGAAAGTGAGCATGAGGCTGCACCGCGGCGCCCCCGTCAACGTCTCCTCGTCCGATCTCACAGGCCGGCAAGATACCTCGCGCATGTCAACCTCACAGGTGTGGTTCTCGGCAGCCCAGCGGGGGGGGCCCTGCTTGGCCGGACCAGAGCAGAGGGGCGCTCTCCTCCCTCCCTCGCTCGTGCGCTCCGCCTCCTACCCTCGTCTTAGTGACCATGACCTGCGGGGGCAGTTGTGCTCCTGCTTGCTGTTTGGCCCTTTGCTGGAGGGCCTCAGAGAGAGCCAGGCCTCAAGGGGCAGCTCCCCTAATTCTGAGCAGGGCCTGGGTCTGTGTGACCCTTGGCCCCAGGTCTGTGTGCCCATCAGTGTGTCTCACTGAGGCCACAGTGTCACAGGCACATGTTTGCCTTTGGGGAACTTTCCTCGTGTGAACCTGCTGGGACATGGACAAGGTCCCCAGCCGGGTGTGGAGGGCAGAGGCTGAGTGAGGGGCACTGTGTTCCAGCCCTGAGGACACTGTTGCCAGGGGACTGGCCTGTCCTGGCAGCGAGGGCACACATCATCAAGCTTTCCTCTGTGGTGCACTCACCCTGGGGCCCACCCACCCCAGGACTCACCTACCCTGATATGCACCCACCCTGGGGCATACCCACTCTGGGACTCACCCATCCCCCAGGGCACACCCACCCCCAGGGCTCACCCACCCCTCTGGGGCTCACCCACTGCAGGCTGTGCTCCACCTGCTCTTGTAACCGCCCGCCTCTGCTCATGTTCCTGCTCTTGCTTGTCGTCACCGTCTTAGTCATCTAACGTGCCACTTCTAGCAGATGGGCGGTCTTTTGCTCACAGAGCTCTCGGGCTGCCCATTGATCGGTTAGGGCCCGGGTCATGCCTGTGGGCAGCCCTCTTGGCCGTCTGGGGTTGACAGAGTAGAGCCCAGACCTCCTGTGGCCCTGCCGGTTGTGGCTATGGCCGTCATGGTGTGTTGCCAAGGGCAACAGGGGGTTAGGAAGTGGAGACCTGGCCCCGCCGCTGGCCCTGCAGCCCTGTAGGCACCTGCTCCCTGCCGGGGTGCTACTGCATCGGAGCATGCCTTTGGGTGACCTTTCTCAAGCAAAACAAGCGGCCCAGCTAAGACTTGTGACTTGCTGGCACTTCTACCGGCAACAGACTTGCTGCCAAGGGGGCTGAGGAGGCCCATTGGCTGAGGAGCTTTTGCTGATCCGTTGTGAATCATGGTGCCTAATGGCTTCAGCAGGTTAATGAGCTAAGGGTCTCTTGTTGGGTGCCCCTGGAACGGGCTCTCCCACAGCCCCCCGACTCCCACCCTCCTCACCATAGGGTGTAGATGTGGCCTAGTGGTTCTCTTTCCTCGGATCCAAGATTCAGGAGTTGGTGCAACCAGGAGCAAACGTGGCCCACAGAACCCAGCACTCCCTGCTTCCCCAGGCCTGGAGACCCCAGACCCTCCTCACCTGTAGCATAGGGCCCGAGAAGGACCGGCCTCGTTGAGGGCAGCAGCGTTTAGTGGGTCTGGCAGTGTCACGTCAGGAGATGGGGGCCTGGGTCCTCTGGAAGCTGGTGTATGGGGTCTGTGTCTGTGTTCAGGGCTCAGTCATGCATCTCTGCTCTTCCTTATTTTACGTCAAGAGAGATTTGGGGGGTCGGGGGTGGCCTTGATTTGTGGCATTGTCGCTCTGAAGCAAGCATCCTAACTTTAGCGCTTACATCCCGTTTCTGCCAGGTTCTCTCCTCATCACCTTCAGGGTGGGGTGCTTTCCCTTAGAAGAGCTGCGGTGTGGTCCCTGCAGACCTACCCCTGTGGCTCTTCGGCTGCCTTTCTGCCCAGGGTCAGCACAGCACCTCCCAGGTTGTGCCTCCCGACACCGTGAGTCGGGCCCTAGTTTGAATCCCAACGGGAACAGGAGGGTTTCCTCTGGACCAGCTCTCGGCCATCCTCGGCCGTGACCTGCCCTGCTTGTGGCATCTGTAGTCTTCATTCAGACCCGCAGAAGGTTGAAGGGTGAAGTAGACGAGGCGGGATGCAGGACGACTGGGATCCCCGTGGATGGGTTGAGCTGTCCTATAGCTGTGGTCTTGGCTTCCTGCACACAGGTGGTGGGGGTCACAGCCTGAGGAGAAGCAAGGCCACAGGCTGGGCCTCACCTGAGTTCTGGCAGGTGTCAGTGCAGGGTCACCTGGATTCGTGGAGGCTGAGTGCCAGAGCTGGCTGAAGCAGGCCAGGAGACTGGTGTCCCTTCCCCATTCCACTCAAGGCAGCTGGCTCAGTCCTGGCTCTGGCCCGAGTGTGACACAGGCCTCTGCTGTTAGGACTTTGTGTGCCCTAACGGGCCACTGGTCGACAGTCTGGGTTCTCAGAGGGCTTCCATAACTCATGCTGCCCATGGAGTGCCTCCCAGCTTTTGACTGTAGAGTGTGTGTTTCTGGGCTGCGTGGCCTGGTTCCCAGCCATAGCTGCCTCAGCAGGACTGTCTGCTGCTTGTGGGGCCTGCCCATCGGGATGCCCAGCCTTGCCACCCAGCAAGGGTCAAGTGTGAGGAGAGTGGGGGCTCTGTCCTGCTCACGTCTTTTTGACATGGCTGTAGAGGGGGCTACGGCTGCTCTCTCGGGAGAGGCCTGCACAGGTGAGAGCCGCTGGTGAGGGTGGGCCAGGCGGGCACGTGACCCGAAGTCTGCCGGCAGTGTGGACTGGGTGAGGAGCTGGTGCCTTTGAAATCGGGCTGACTAGGCAGTCAGGGGCCGGACCTCACAAGCCAGCGGCCACTTACCAATGGCTGTCTTTTCCCCACCTCAGAATAGCATTCCTTTTGAACACCACGGCAAGTAGCCGCTCGTCTCCCGTGGAAGGCAGCACCGGTGAGTGTGTTGGTGTCTGGGCCAGTCTGGGTGGACAGCAGGATGCCCGCCTGCCCACCCACAGGTCTGCAGGCAGGCCAGGCTTGCATGCCAGGTGCTGAGGCCACGTGGTGTCTCTGCTGGTCTGTCCCTCTGGGGGTCCCCATGTGGTGACTCCGAGGCCTCCCGGTCAGGGCCGTGCTGCTCCAGGGGCTCCCAAGTTGCAGAGATGCTGCCTGTGAAGCAGAGGCCCCCACTGTCTGCCCATCTGCTCTTGTGGCTCCAGTTGGAGATAAGTGGTGTGGCCTCGCTCCCCGGGAGCGCTCCTGCTCAGCCCATGGAGCCTTGCCACGTTCGGTGCTTACTCTCCACCTTCTTTCCTGTCGCCTCGTCTCCTTTCTCTGCAAACTCACGCTCTGCCCAGCCGTCTCGTCCACGCAGCTGTTGTCTGCATTAGCCAGCACCCCACCCCACATGCTGCCATGGTGCATGGCGCCCTCACTGTCGCCGACCTTGGCACCACGCACGCTTGCTCCTTCCTGGCGGAGGACTCGCGGCTTCTGTTGGTTTTAGCAGCTGTAGGACCCGCTGTGGCTTCACTGGATGTGAGGTTGGGGAGTCTCGGTGCAGCTGCCTCACTCTGCCCCTGGGCTATCACAGTGCCACACAGGCCTGTGCCTGTCCCCAGAAGTCAAGTCACTTTCCAGGGACCTTTGTGCCTGTGGCTTCTTGTCGAGAGCCCTTCTGATGGCTCCTTCCCCCGTTCGCATGCTGCCTCCTCCTCCCTGTCTGTCTCTGAGCAACATCCAGGCAGTGGGGCAGTGCATTCGAAGTGGGCAAGCAGCGACCGTGCATCCCTGGGGCTGTCAGTGTGTGTACCAAGGGCTGGTGGGAAGAACCAGCCAACTCTGACTGTGTGTGTGTGTGTGTGTGTGCGCGCACGCGCACGTGCGTGTACACATCGGGCTGGCGGGGCAGACCGGCCCACGCTGATGCTCTCTGTCCTTTGGCTCCGACAGATTCCCGGTCGGGTGGCGTCCAGCGGTCTTCAGTCTGCCGTGCACCGGTGAGCCGCTCTGTGCCGCGAAGGGCAGACATGCATGGCTGATCTTCTCTGTACCAATGGCTTCTAGTGACGCGCCCCGACCTAGAGCAGGAATGTTAACACCGGAGCTCTCCAGGCCACTCACCCAGTGACGTGCACGGGACACACACACAGACTGTAGATGGACAGGCGCCACGTGCTGCCAGCGCCAGGGGCCGCGGCCTGCCGTGAGCTCAGTCACCAACTGGGAGGGGCGTGAGCGCGGGAGACCGCACCTACCGCGAGTCTTTCCGCTCCGCCTCCACGGTGGTGGCCTGTGCTCCCCGCGAGTCTACTGTAACTACCAATCTTTCTCTTGGTTAAGACAGTTTTGTATCATTTTGCTAAAAATTATTGGCTTAAATCTGTGTAAAGAAATCTGTCTTTTTATTGTTTTTCTTGTCTGTTTTGCGGTCTGAAGAAGACGTTGGCGTTAAAGAACCTTGAAGCGAACTCACTGGGCAGTGTGTTCTGTGTGTGAGATGATCAGGCAGGAGTGCCCTGGGCGCCAGTGGTATGTGCCCGTCCATCCGTCTGCTGTCCTGTTGTGCTGTGCTGTGTGTCTCGCCAGAGTTGCATCACATGCACACACGTGTACAGGTTTTGTGTGTGTGTGTTTGTCATGGGCGGGGGTCTCGCCTGCCGTCCTCACTTGAGACAGCTGCTGTTGGTGCAGTGGTTGGAATTGTCGCCCGTTGGAAGGTGCAGGCTGCCACAGAAAAAGGAGTGCCAGGCTTGTCAAGGCCACGCAAGATGCTGTCCTTCCCAGAGGAGGCTGAGGACACCAAGGACACGGACATGGAGGATGCTGAGCACCCACCTGGCTGACAGTTGGGTGCATGTCTGCTCTGGGAGAAGGCTGTTAGGCGAAAGCGCGCAGGCCATGTTGGGTTGTGTTTGTGATTGGTGGGTGTTGTGCCTAAATGCCTTTGAACTTGAACTTGGGGAACTTTCTGAACAGACTGTACGTGCAGCCAGCACAGGTTGGTGGTTAATCTGTGTTAATCCCTGTGAGCTCAGATTGAAGGGTCTGGTGTAGCATGCCCAGCAAGATGGTGGGGCCAGGGGGATTCCGTGCCAAGAAATAGGACACCCACACTCCTCGTGAAGCGTGTTGGAGCATGCACTGTTGGTGAGCGTCCCTGCAGCAAACAAGGACAGCCACGCCCCTGCGGTAGAGCTTTTAGGAGCGGGATGGGGAGAGGTCCTCACATGCATGGTGCACCCATGGGCCCGGCGACAGGTGTCTCTGATGCTCTTGGACACTCAGGACCCTCAGGTACCCACTCCTTTCCCTTCCACCACATCTGCTGCCCAGGAGCGCTGGTCCTACTCACCATCCCTGTTAGTGGCCATACCAGAGCTGCCTCGTTCTGAACTCTCTGGGTGAGCTGGTCACCCTGGAAGTATCTGGCGTGCAGGAGCGGGCAGTGTGTACAGAGCACACCCCTTCCTTGGGCTGCTGTGTCCGTTCCGTTTGCCCAGGGTCCTGAGGCGTGCGACTCCTGCCTGAAGCAGTGGATCAGAGCCCCCTGCTGTGTGTGAACAGTTTTGTCCCCCTCCCTCACCGTATAAACCACCGTGCTTGTGAGACACGGAGGTTGAAGATGTGTACCGGCGTGGACGGGAGTCTGGGCAGTGCGTCGAACTTCCACTGTGTTTGTACTTTTAACAGCTGTGTGGTAATAAATTCCTGTGGCTTCTGATCTCCCCCCAGCCCCTTCCTGGTTTTCATCACGCGGTTGGGTGCCCTCGGCGTGTGTACGCCGACGTGCGGGAGCTCACTTAGCGGCCGTTGGTGCCTGTGCTCTCAGCTGCTCTGCATACTGGGCGGCCTTGCTGGGCTGGAAGCACGGGGTCCTGGGCGGGCACGGCCACGGGATACACAGGCTGTGTGCGTTTGGGCCTGGCCGCTTCTGGACGTATCCTCATTTGGGGGTGTACTCGCTGCCCAGCACAGCACTCAGTTGCCCAGAGGGTTCCTGCCCTAAAGCCATCCGGTGACTGCTGGGGCTGCCTGGGAGCACCCCGGTCCTGGGGCTGCATGTGCCTAGTTGTGTGTCAGGGAAGTCCCTCGGCAGCACACTGTGTTCTCTAGGGTTTTGGGTTTTCTGCCTTCCCACCCCCACCCTTCCTCAAGCCACCATTCTGGCCAGGCCAGGGCTCCTGATTGGCTTCCAGCAGGGACCCCAGGGCCACTTGGGCCTCTGTACCTGGGACCTTCCTGTCTTCTGGGCCTGCCTCGCAGAGGCTGCCTACACATCGCTGCTGCCCAAGACTGCGGTGGCTGCATTTGGAACAGACGTCAGCCCTCCCCACGGTCCCTAGCAGGACTTAAGTGGTCAGTCCTGCATGTTTTCTGACCTTTCTGTAACCCTTGCTGGAAGCCACAGTCAGTCGTTGCGACTCAACAGCGCCCCCTGCACGACGGGGGAAACACTGCCCGCTTCGTCCTGGCCCCGTCACCGGTGCCGGTGGGACTGCTGTGGTGCATAGGCTTTTGCTGGCCAGTTGTCGGAGGTAGAGTGTAGGGTCCTTCTGCATTTTCGTCTGAAGCTCTGCTGGTGGCCGTTGGGTGACACAGCACACATAAGCCTCCACAGATGGGTGGTGACTGAGCGTGGCGTGCAGTGGCTGGGAGTCAAACCATGGTCTGCATGGAGGGCAAGGATTCTCCCACTGTTCCCTTGGGGCCTGTTCCACCGCCATCCTCTCATTTCTGCAGGAGGGGTGGGTGTGCGGCCCGGTCTTCCAAGAGTTTGCCTCCTGGCCCCCCAAGAGCCGTCCGCAGCCCCCTGCTGGAGCCTCTGGAGTTAAGCACCTGCCCTCCGGTGAGGCCTTGGCCCCCAGACCACAGAGGCACCCGTGTGTTGCTGGCTGCCCTGCGTGTCCTCACACAGACGGAAGCACTGCTGAGCGGATTTGCTCGGTGGGCGTGTTGGAGGGACTCGTTCTCTCTGAACGAGTCCAGGTCTGTTTTTGAAGGCAGGGACTCTACCCAGAGCAGAGCTTGGAGGGCACCAAGAGTAACCCATGGGGACCCTGTGCCCTGTCTGCCTGGTAGATCTTATCCAAGGGCCTGTAGCTGCAGGCCCGCCAGCCTCCCCGTCTCCCCTCACAGCAGGCACTCCACAGATGGCACAGTGGGGGCAACAGCCTGAGTGGGCCTGGCTCTTTTGGCACACCTGCCTTTAGGGGCCTAGATGACCCTTGGCTGATCCCCACCTAATTAGAGGGGTGCCTATGTCAGCAAGGGGGGTCGGGCCCTCAAGGTACTTGACAGAAAGCCTCTTTTGTTCCTGGGGGGAGTTGGGGCAGTGTGGAGTAGCTGGTGGCCCCTCCCTCACCTGTGTCCTAGGCCTCGTTTTCCTGAACACTCCCTCGGCTGGACACACCCTATCAGTCCGTCAGTGCTTGAGACCTTTGACCTCACTGTAGAGCTGAGGGCAGATGGGGCCCGAGTTCTGGGTGTGGGGAGATGGGGGTTGCATACTCCTGCTGGGCGGGTACCCCATACCCTCCATCCCCCGTCATGGGACTCTGTACAGCCCCTGGGTAGCCTGTAAGTCCGTGTCCTGGCATAGCAGTAACTCTCCACGGGACAGTCCCCACAGCCTGACCACTTGAGAGTCTAGTATCCCCACAGTGACCTTGGGCATCATGGTTGTGGGTGTTTTGTGTTCTGACACCACCACCCCATCCCCTTTCCTCTCTGGAGACACAGGATCCAGGAGGAGGGTGGAGCTGCAGGTGCCTGGGAGCACCCATCTGGTGTCATTCTTCCGAGGGAGATGACAGTCTTAGTAGGAGAGCTAGGGGAATGGGTGGGAAGTGTCGGCCCTGATCCAGCACAGAGACATCTCCAGAATCAGGCTCCAGAGCAGAGGCAGGGTCTTCTGCCCCATTCTCCTGGCAGCCCTGCCAGCCCGGAAAGGCTGCCCCAGAGGTTCATTGTACACCCACACCTGTTCCCGCCCTGTGGGCAGGGGCGTCGTCCACTGGCCTTGTTCTCTGGGAGTGCTCCCCTCCCAAGCTCAAGCAGCTTTTGCCAAGAAGCACAGGGCCTGTGGCCAAAGTAGGGGTTGGTCCTCTGGAGCTCAGGAGGCCCACTGTCTCAGCTTTGCTCGGCGACTGGCCTGCCGGGGCCTGGGACTCCGTTTGGCTTCCTCTCCCCTGCCTTAACCACCCATTGCCCATATCCCGAGCAGAGGGAGGGCGGGGGGGGGGGGCGGGAAGGCCCCCAGTGGGAAACCTGGGGGCAGGGGAGCTGGCAGGTGGGGGGCTGTGAGAGGGTGACAAGTGGGGCCAGGGCCCTCAGGGCATGAGATGTGAGTGCAGAGATAGGCAGGGAGCACGGTCTCCCCAGAGACTGTGCCGAGTGAGCTGGGTCCGAGATACGAGCTCTCGCTTGCTTTTCGTTGCAGAGAAGCAGGGACATGGCATCTCTCCGGCTGCACACGGCCCGTCGGGGCGCCCGCTGCCGTCCCCAGCGCCCACGACACACCACCTACTGAGTCGGCCCCACCAGCCTTCAGCCGGGCTCCCAGCCACGCAGGCCGCCGCTGGCCACAAGGGCAGGTGGGTGTGAGCACACCAGGGCTGGCAGGCCGGGAGCAGGGCTGCCCAGGGTGTGGGCCAGGCAGTGGGAGGCAGGAGACCCATGAACACGACCAGGCCACCAGAGTGAGGGCCAGTCAGAAGACAGGCGACAGAAGAAGGGAGAAGCAGTTTTAACACACACATACTTAACACACACTCCGCTGGACAACTGTCTCTCAGCCGGTGTCTGCCCAGCACTCGGGCTCCTGCATGGGCTGGTAGAGTCCCCCACCGGCGGTCCCCAGGCTGCACTATCCCCCTCCTTGGCCCCCACATGAGCTCTGCTGCCCAGACGTGCTGACAGCCACTGAGGCTGGCGCAGGACAGAAACTGCAGAAGGGACAGGTTTGTCAGCAGAATGAGGTCGGGGCTAGCACCCAACCCTTCACCCGCACCAGGTTCCAGGGGTCCTGTACCAGGTGGGTCTGGAACCCGCCAAAGTGCAAGTTCCATGTTCCTGGGCCCCCAGTCTGAGTGAGGGTGCCCAAGTGGGCAGAAGCTGGGAGGCCTAGACATACAGGAGCCTGGCTGCCTGGAGTGCCCATTTGGCCAGCTGTCCCCAGCCCTGCCTCTGAGGAAAAGTCTTGTCTTTGCAGAGTGGGTCCATGGGCGGGGGTGGTCTGCTGGTGTCAGGCCATGTCCCCACACGCAGCGTTGTAACCACGCTTGGCTCCACTACAGATCCGATGTGGAATGATGCATTTCCAACCCTCCACCTCCCCCCGCCAAACCGTGTTGGTGCCGCCTGGCGGCCCGCAGCCGTCCACTCAGCCAGTCTTGTGTGTGCAATAAACAAGCTCCTCCATTGCGGCCTCCTCCCTCCTCCGCCCTCGCCGCTCACACACTTGTTTCAGGGTTGTGGATAGCCTCCCCGTTTTTCTCGGGCTCTCCCTTGAGGAAGACCTCCACTTCCCGGGCGTCCACATGCCCGTCTGCAGGGGGCTGGTTGGGGTCCTCTGTGGCCGGCTCTGCAGGCCTCTGGCCCCTGCAGAAGAAGTTGCCGAGTAGCAGCACCAGGGACGAGCACACCACCTCGGCCCCCGCCAGGATGAACACGTACTGGTAAACGTGTGTGGCGTCCAGGAGCTTGCCTGCAACAGAGCTGGGGTCAGCATGGGTCGGCTGCCTGCTGAAAAGCCCCTGCCGTGTGTAGTGGCTGCCTCTGCACTCAGGCTCCTGCCCTCCCCACCTGAAGGCCGGCTCCACCCTCCTAGGGCTGACCCTAGGGAGAGGCTTTACATTGTGCAAGTCCTAGGGGGCGTCCACAGGCTGTCCTCCCTCTCCACCGCTCGCCTGGCCTCTCCCTGGCCTCCTTTCTCGGGGGGGGTCAAGACAGAAGTAGCTGAGGAGGCTTAGGGGTGGTCCTGCCCCACTGCCTGGGCACCATGTTGTCCTTGCCATGAGTGATCCTTACAGGTACCCCTCCGGGCACCGGAAATGCAAGGCCGTGCGGCACTGTGTCAGGTGGGGACCCCAGATGAGGAGGGTCTGATACGAGGGACTTGGTTACGCCTAGTGTGGCCTAAACCTCTACATCCGAGTACAGCCCTGTAACCAGGCCAGGCGTGTCCTCGTGAGACATCAGGCTAGGCATACCCAAGGACTCTGCCTGGCTTGTGGCAGTCCAGCACCAAGCATGGCCACAGGGGAGGTGAAGCCCTCCTGCTGACCAGCAGTCTGACGGGCCCCTGGATAACCTCCCGGCACTCACCCCCAGAGGGTGGCCCGATCAGCACGGCCACGGCCTCTAGCAGCAGCACTAGCCCGATGGCACTGGAGAACTTCTGGGTGCCCACGATGGCCATGAGCACCTCAAACTGCAGGGCACCCACCATGCCGTAGGAGATGCCGAAGAAGATGCAGAAGACCACCAGGCCGCCGTAGTCGGTGGCCGTGGAGCCCCCCAGGTCAGCGACGCCATTGAAGAACATGGCGAAGCTGAAGAGGTAGACGGAGTAGGGCCGCACACGGCGCAGCCCAGTGATGAGCCCGGCCGTGGGCCTGGCGAATATGTCGATGAAGCCGAGCACCGTGAGCAGGAAGGCGGCCTGCGTGTCAGGCGTGCCCAGGTCCTTGGCGTAGCTCACCACGAACACAGGCGGCACGAAGAGCCCCAGCACCATGATGGAGGCAGCCAGTGCATAGATGACGAAGCCGCGGTCCCGGAAGACGCTGAGGTCCAGCAGGCGCCGTGCCGGCCGGCGGGGCTCAGGCTCGGTGCCTGGCACCCGAGGTGGCTCCAGGGGCCGCATGAGCGCCGCGCACACACAGCAGTTCAACAGCAGGCCCCCCAGGATGAGGAAGCCGCCGCGCCACCCGTAGTGGTCCTGCAGCAGCTGGCCCAGTGGGGACAGGGCGCACAGGAACACGGGGCTGCCTGCAGCGGCCAGCCCGTTGGCCAGCGGACGGCGCTTGTTGAAGTAGCGGTTCAGCATGATGAGGGAGGGCTGGAAGTTGAGTGCCAGGCCCAGGCCTGGAGGGGAGAGGAGAGGAGTGGGTGAGCCATTGCTGTCCAGCCCTACCGTACTCTGTGAGAGGGGGCCGCTAGCACCCAGGGGTCCTCTTCTCGAGGGGGGGAAGCCAGGGAGACACAATCTGACACTCCACGTCCTCCAGAGGCCCCTGTGTTTGCTCCAGCTGAGGGGGTGCTGTCCGATGTCAGACTGGGAGGACACTGTCCCATAGGGACCGAGTGAGGGGCAGCCTTGGCCCCTGCCTGGGACCCGGCTCTATTCTGAGAGTCTCTCTGGCCTCAGGATGCTCAGAGGAGTGTGATGCAGGTTTGGCCCCCCCCCCACCGAGGACACCTTGCCCCACACAGGCTGGCCCACTCACCAGTAATGACCCCCGTGGTGATGTAGATCTCAATGATGCTTCCACAGAAGGACGCGGCCACCATGCCCAGGGACGCAAAGAGGCCACCCACCAGCATGACAGGCCGGCATCCGAAGCGGTTCACGCATACGCTGCACAGGGGTCCTGGGGGCAGGGCGCACATCGGCTGAGGGCCGGTCACCCTCTTCTCCCCTCAGCCACACCCAGGCCCACACCAGCCCCGCCACACCCACATCGCTAGGCTTTGCCCAGGCCATATCCATGGGGCTAGCCATGTCTGGGGGACACCCGTCACCCCATACCATCTCCTGCCCCAGGGTTGCCTGGCCTGTGCCACCCAGAGTTGGTGAACACTGGGCCCTGTGGGTACAGGGTGTTGCCCAGCTGTCCCACTGCCACCACCAGTCAGCCGCACGGTGTGGGGGGTGAAACGCCACGAGAGCAGCCTGCGTTCTCTAGGCAGCCCCTGTCCCCAACACCTTTTAAAGGCCAGAGCTCACGGGGCCTCGTTCTCCGGGCCTGCCTGTAAGTAGCCACCACCCACACAGGTGACCTCACTGTGCCCTGTTTGGCCCTATGGAGACCCAGCCACTTGTTCCCAGACTGTGTTTTGCAGACTGTTCCCTCAGGCTTTTCACACCATGCAGCCGCGTGGGGAACCCCCAAGGCCAGAGGCCCCAGGAGCACAGTGGCCAGGTGACCAGGGTGGGGCCTCACCGGTGCCATAAAGCATGGCCAGAACGATAGAGGAGACCCAGGCCGTGTCGCTGTAGCCGATGCCAAACTCCCGCATGAGTTCCTTGAAGAAGACGCTGACCGCCTTGGGGAAGGCATAGGAGAAGCCCGTGATGACAAAGCAGCCGAAGAGCACGGCCCAGCCCCAGCCCCCATCAGGAGCCGGGACTCCCGAGGGGCCGTCGTCCACCACTGCACCGCCCATGCCTGGAGGACCGGTCTGCGCTGCCTGCAACAGGAAGCACAGGCGACTGGTTGTCATGGTGACGTTCTGCTGTAGCAGGCAGGGGCGGGTGGGGACAGAGGACATGCACGGGACACGTGGACATGGACGGCACTGCCGCATACCAAGTGGCCGCACCTTCAGCCGGGACTCCCAGCCCCGGTCTGCACCTGGGGGCCCTGGCGGTCCCTCCTCTACAGCTCAGCGGGGGCTGCCCTGGCGCTAGCTCCAGCCCTGTGCCTGTCACAGCACGGACGGCGCTGGCGCTGGCTGCCTCCCACCGCCTTCTCCTGTTGTCCCACAGCTGTAAAGGGCTGTAAAGGGCAGTGGCTTTTTTGGGCTCAGTGGGACTCAGGTTTCACCCTCATGGGCAGCAGGTACCCTGGTGGGGACGCCGGCCTGGCTGGCCTTTCCGGCAGGAGCTGTGGCCTCCCGCTTGGCCCTATTTCGGGAAGCAGCGGGTCACTGGTCACCGTGGCACTGGTGAGTCTGGCAGCGGCCGAGTCTCTTGCAGGCACTGCATGGGCCAGGCAGGCAGACCCACCCAGTGCGCAAGGACTTGGGCCCTGAGGTTAGGGTGGGGTCCCTTCAGACCCCATCCAGTCTAGTGCCTGTGCACCAGCCCCAAGCCTGCTCTCTGGCCATCCCATCTGGTTCATGCCGTATGGAGCAGAGTCGGCCTTTAGACAGGCAGGAGCAAAACGTCTTCAGAGGAGACAATGTAGCATGGGGGAGACACGCGGCCCTAATAGCCAGACACCAGCAAGTCGGTCACCCTGCAATGGATGGCCTTCCTGGCCCTCACCTGCCACCCCGTTCCCTGTTCTTGCCGGTGTAGATCCCCGGGTCCCCTGCAGTTATCTGCAGGGGGAGCCTGGGTGCCATATGGGGATGTGTGCTGTGTGGGAGACGGCAGGCAGGGGAGGCTGCCGGCCTGAGGGGCCAAACCCCACAGCAGATCCCAGGGGCCAGATTTGGAACCAGACTTGAGCTGAGGTGAGGCTCTGGCAGTCCCCTCTCCCCCACGTTGACCGCAGCCCCCTGCTCTCACCTGACTCAGGCCGCTGTGGGCGGGTTTGCCGCGGCTTCCTTGAGGCAGGAATGGGTGGAGGACGTCCCTGGACGAGGGCTCCGGAGCTTGGTCTCCCACTGCAGGGTGCTGTTAATGGGCTTACTGGGGAGGGAAACAGCCCTTGAGTGGGGTTTGCTGTTTCCAGGATGTAAACAACCCCCTGTACCATGCTGAGAGAGCTTGTGACAGCCAGCCCCACCCCTGTGACCCCTCACTTGCCGGAGGGCTGAGCCCTAGGCCCTGCTCCTCCTCAGATGGCGCCAGCACAGGTGTTCACTGACCCCAACCTCACAAAGCCCCGGGGTGCTGGGGCAAGGGCAGGCCTCTGTGGAGTCTGGCACAAGCCTGGCCACGAGTGGCCCTCGCCGCCTGCTCTCTGCCCAGGCCGAGTCCTGCCTGCTACCATCGCAGCCATGGTTTGAGCCTGAGTTACTGGACCCCCAGTGACCAGCCATGGCAGAACATGGCCCAGGAGCTGAGGACCCTCACCCAGCAGGCGACAGCTTGGCACAGGGCATGGGGAGGCCCTTCCGCGTGCTAACGCTTGTTCTGAAAGCCCCTGTGAACACAGGAGGGAGCTTTGCAGGTGTGGGTAAATGCTCGGCTCTAACCAGGAGGCCATCGGTTCAAACCCACCAGTTGCTCTGTGGGGGAGTGATGTGACAGTCTGCTTTCCCGAAGATGTGCAGTCGTGGGAAGCATGTGTGCCCCCAGGGTGGCTGTGAGTTGGAGTCGACTCAAGGGCAGTGGGTTTGGTTTGGGGCTGGTTTAAGACCTGCAGACAGCAAGGTAGCTTTCTTAAAAGAAACAACTAAGAACTCAGCCTGTGCCTTTCAGGAATGCATCGAAATGCTGACGAAACCCAGGGGGCCATGTTGGGTTCCAGGTGGTTTGGGGGCCATGGTTTACAGGTGTTTATTGTACTTTTAAAACTACACCCAGAAGCCATACCCAGGCCGAGGAGGACCATGGCTCCAGGCCAAGGTCAGGAGCCATCAGGCCCAGCACCCGAGGGCCCAACAGGGAAAAAAGCGCAGAATGAATCACCAGACCAGGACCTCGGGGGGCTGCCTCAAAGCCCACAGGGCCCGTGGCTGGGGCAGGAAAGGTGATGTCACCAGCCTGCAGTATAGGCTGCCTGCAGGGGATGAGGCATCCCCGAGCTGGCCTCCAGGAGGGAGAGGAGTGGGGTGGAGGGAGCATGCAGAGGCCGTGGGGCCAGCCCAGGAGGTTCACCAGGGAGGGGTGCCCTCCCTGCCAAGGGGTGGGAAGGGGTTGTCTTCAGACACCGGCTCTCTCAGCCTACATGCCCACTACACTGAAACGGCCCTGCCTGCCGTCCCGACACACCCAGAGTGGGCTGCCCCGCTGGTTTCAGCTCGCTGCCCAGGGCTGGGGTGAAGGGTCGGGAGGCAGAGCCTCCTGCAGCAGGACTAAGGGTGTGTATGTTGGGGCTTACAGAGGGGTTAGGGTAATAAGAGCTCCCCTCTCCAAAGACACAGCGTGGGGAGCAGAACCCTGCGGCCCCTCGATGTGTGGACCCAGGCTGAAGAGGGGCACAGTGTGGGAAGTAGAACCCTGTGGCCCCTCGATGTGCAGACCCAGGCTGAAGGGGCAGGGATAGCTGATCAGGGACTCGCCCAGGAGCATAGCTGGGGGGGTGGGGGTGCCCAAGGTGCCCGCTGTGGCAGGCTGGCCTTTTGTGACATCTATCCTCCCAAGGAAACACGCGGTAGTCCCGGCCCAGAAATAACTGCTCTCAGGGCGTGGAAACCTGACCCGCCCAGGTGGGGTGGGAGTGCTGCCCTGGGTGGAGCAAGGCTCCTTGGGGGCTCCAGAGGGCTGCTCACCAGCTGGAGTGCCCAGTGAACGGCTGCAGCAAAGGCCCCCCAAATGCCAGGTGAGGGAGGCCTGGGAGGTGGGACATAGTCCCAAACATCCGAAAGTCCAACATGCCCTCCCAGTCGGGCACTGCCAGTACCCCCACCCCATGGCTTGTGGGAGCAGGGGCCGAGGGAACCTGGCTGTCTGGAGGAGGCCTCGGCAGGCCAGGACTGGGGAGCCCCTGGGGAGAATGGGGCCCTCTGCCTTCATTAGTGTTCTGGAAGATCCAGGCTTCCAGGCTGAAGAGGGTGGGCGCTGGTCTGAGCCTCCATCCCCACTGGCCCCAAGCCCCCTGACATGCACCAGCGCCCCTGCAGGCTCATGTGTGTCAGCTCACCTCTTCCGAGCAACACAGGGACCAGTGGGGTGGAAGGACCAGCCTCATCCACCAGACTGGGCGCTGCGGCCAGAGGCTGGCCACATGCTCAGAGTCACGGCCGGGCCCCATGGCGGGTCCCTGGAGGACAACTGGTGCTGGCGTGGGTTGCAGGTGGCTTCCAGCCTGCTGCTGATGGGTGACACAGAGGCATCTCCCCCGCTGGCTTCTTTGGAGGGCAAAGATGGGTCACAGCCCCTGTGCCCGATTTGGGGCCCCCATACTGCACCCCAGAACCATTCCAGACACCCCAGGCTTCAAGGCTTCACACGTTACTGCCCCATGGGGTGCAGCCCCTCCACACAGAACCCACAGGGACTACAGCCACCTGGTGTGGTTGGGCTGGGGATGGGCCACCAGTTGGCCCCAGGAATACCACCCTTGGCAGCAAATTCCCTAAAGCCAAATGCCCCAAGGTGGGAACTGAGGCTGCAGGCCGCTCCTCTCCCACCTTCAGCCTGACGGGAGGTGTGCCCTCTGTGCGCCTAGCGCGCTGCTGCTGCCAGACTGAGTGACCGGGCAGCCCGATGTTGGGGGGCAGAGGGGGCGCCGGCCGAGATGGGAGGCAGCAGGCAGAGGGGCCCTGAGCTCCACCCGTGACCCCGCCCCATCTCCTCCGGTACGCGCTCGCCTGGGCGGAGGGCAGGGTACTGAGCGGGGAGAGGATGCTCCGCTGGCCCCGCCCGCCTGGCCTCGGGACGTGGGGGACGTGACCGCGCCAAGGGAGGAGCCACCGCCGTATTGCCTGGAGTAGGCGCCCGCCGCGTCGCTACCGTATTCGCCGGGGCGCGCGTCCTCCTGCCGCCCGGAGTCGAGCACGCGCCGGGCCACCTAAGTTGAGCGGAGCCCCTGAGCCTCTCTGCCCCCGCGAGGACCCCGCGAAGGGAACCCGCTCTTGGCGCCTCCAGGGCGGAGCCGGCTTTGGTTTCCCTTCAGGAGCGGCCGGCGGGCGTGGCTCCCAGCTGGGGAAAGCGGACTTGGGAATTGGGCCTTGGGGGCCCAGCAGCCCCAGGAGTGTGCTCTTCCCGGCCCCGAGCGAGCGTCTGCTTCCAGCCGCCCATTTTATAGATGGAGACCGAGGTCCGGAGGCCTGGCCTCGCCTACCATGACGCTGTGAGGACGCCCAGGTCTTGAGAATGCCCTGCCCCGCCCCTGTGCCCAGCCCAGTGCCAGGCTGTTCCGGGCCCGATCTGGCGGCACTTCTAGGTAGCCCCCTGCCAGACCATCATACACACACACACACACACACACACGCTTGCCACCCACCACCCAGAAGGGCCCACCCTGGGAGTCGCAGGCTCCTCCTCACCCTGTGAAGTTGGCGCTGGGTTTTCTCCTCCCATCCCAGCGTGGGCAGAGGGGACCCACCCTGTGCGAACCTGGCCCGAGCACATACCCTCTCCTACTGTGTTCTAGGCGGCACACAGTCCCTCCTTGCTGTCTCTACAAAACTAGTGAGCTCAGTGAGAGTGGTGCTACTCCTCCTCGTGGGTGGCCACCCGGCCCAAGGTCACACAGGGTCGTGGCCAAGCCTGCCTTGGGATCCCGCCTCTCCACCCGTCCACACCACGTGTGTGCCCTGGGCAGGAGGTCTGCATACCTACCAACGACTGCCACCAGTGGCCTTAGAGCTGCTTTGGACAGACCCCG